GAATTGTGTATTTTTTAAAACAACAATAACTGAAGTATAGAGAGACTTTTAAAATTATAAGAATTCATCCTTAAAATTTCCTAAAACTTTTAATATTCACACACATTAAAAACATCCAATCTCTCAAGATCAAATAAAAGAGCTGAAAATTAGTTATTAGTAGTTGTTTCTGAAATCTCTTTATCTTTTGACACAGTATTCAAAGGAAATACTTGCTGTTTGACACTGCATTTTAAATGAATGCAAAATAATGAAAATCTCTGTGTTGCTATTAATACTTATGCAATGAGACTCACCATATTCTTTCAGAAGCCCCATGGAAGAGGAGGTCATGGGTTGTAATGGCAAGTCAAGATTGATGACTGGGGTGGGAAATGGTGAGACCAAGAATCTGTTTCCAAAACATAAAGTTAGAGCTTTCAGTCATTTACAGACCCTGTTTTGTAATACAATCTTTCTAGACCAATGTTATAAGATTAGATGCTAATCACAAAGAGAAAACCACTTGTCTCCTATCAGTAGAGTCTATACATGTTGTACCTGCAGTGCTCACGCATCAGGCCCTCTATAACTATTATTGAAAATACATAAATATTTATATCATTATATTATATAATAAATATATAATATTTGTTGAATGAAGACAAAATAATACCAAATTTTGCTGGCTCTGAGCATGGATAACAAATAGGAACATTTGCTTTCCAAATGAAAACAAAAAAATCAGAAAACTGAACAAGGACCATATCTATTGATTTTCTGTTTTGCAAGATTTTAAGTAACATGTTTTCCTATCATGACTTGGTGAGCTTCAACCAAGTCAGGTGAATCAAAAACTGTATCACCACATAGAAGAAATTTTAGAAAATATACATAAGCAAAAGGAAGAAAATAAAAATTATCCCTAATTCACCACCCTAATATTTTAGGCTTAATTATAAACCCTTAAAGGCTTCATAGGGGGCCAGGCACTATTCTAAACCCTATCTGTGTCTTACTGCATTTAATCCTCACAAGATGACTCTGGGTTTTTACTATTGTTACACCCATTTTATAAATGAAGACACTAAGGCATTCAGGAGTTAAGTAGTATATAGTTCAAATTATCCCAGCTAGAACTGGGTGGAGCCAGAATTTGAATCTGGACAGTGGGAGTTTAAGAACTGAACTCCCTATTACTATTTTATACTAACTCCAATTGTCATAATTAACATGTGTCATATAGTTCATATCTTCTCTATGTTTATGTGCACGTAAAATGTACATGAACTTTTTAGATTATTTTATGCCCTTAATAAACCACAAATATCTTTCTTTATAAACCTACAAAGATGTACATTGTCATTCTGACCCATTACAAAGCATTCCACTATAGGGATTTAACATACTGATGGCTTATTTACCAATCTTCTTTTGCCAGATATTTGGATTGCTTCCACTTTTTTGGTATTTATAAACAAGGATGAAAACCTTTCAACATTCATATTTGTGAACTTGTCCAATTCTTTTCTTATTATAAATGCCTAGAAATGTAATTGCTAATTCAAGTGTTATTGAAATTTTTAAGATTTTAAAACATTTGCCTAGGGGATCCCTGGGTGGCACAGCAGTTTGACGCCTGCCTTTGGCCCAGGGCGCGATCCTGGAGACCCGGGATCGAATCCCATGTCGGGCTCCCGGTGCATGGAGCCTGCTTCTCTTTCTGCCTGTGTCTCTGCCTCTCTCTCTCTCTCTGTGTGTGTGACTATCATTAAAAAAAAAATAAAAAATAAAATAAAAAATTTAAAAAATTAAAATTAAAACATTTGCCTGTCAAAAACTAGAGTCTATGAGGGATGAGTCTGAGCTATCCTGTTCCAATTTTTACATTTGACATAGAGTAGAAACTCAGTAAATAATGACTGACTTGGCATCCCGGGTGGCTCAGCGGGCTGAAGCCTAGGGCGTGATCCTGGAGACCGGGAATCCAGTCCCACATCGGGCTCCCTGCATGGAGCCTGCTTCTCCCTCTGCCTGTGTCTCTTCCTTTCTCTCTGCATCTCTCTGTGTCTCTCATGGATAAATAAATAAAATCTTAAAAAAAAATAATGACTGACTTAAAGGATCAATTAGTCTAGCTGTTTACTCATGTGATCACATGAGTAAGAGAACTGAGGTATTGCTAGTGTGACAAAATCATATTGTGAAGGAAAAATATGAAAGTCAGCTTTGCGAAACTCCATTTCAGATTCTAGAAATTATTTCTATGTCACCAAGAATGGGGCCATGATACAACTGATTAATCACATTTTTTTTTTGCTCTCTTTCATCTTGCCTATGGTTAAATATTTAAGTCTCCAAATTAGAACTATTGCATTGTTTAATGATTTCCTATTAACAGGTATAGACTACAATTCATCCACTTAAGCAAAATATTTTACAAACATTCAGATGAAATGGCAGGATCATTTCAACATAAATGTGAAGGTGGTGAGAGATTCTATCATTATTTTATAATCTCATTTTATTATTAAATTAATCAGAATAGCCTAAATACAAATTGCCATGTAACACATAAGAAACTCCCAGTGATCACAAAACTAGGGGAAGAAGTCTAGGCTTACTTGCCTGAATTACAGAATTGCATTTACAGAAATACAGTTGTCATAACTTTAAATGCACCAAATATTATAAACTAAAAGAAATTGCTCTAATAAAATAAAAGTGCATAGTAAATTAATTTCCTTGATGGAAAAATAACATTTAGAATGCACTCACACTGATCATTATGTCATAAAACATACTTTCTTAAGTATGCTAATTATGGTGATCTTTGAAGTTAGAATTCAAAGTACAATGAAGAACTTCATGTCCTTAAACTTAAATCTGAAAATGCAGAACTAGTCAATTTTGTTTTCCCTCTACAAATCAAACATAGAGAAGTATGGGAAAAGGAAATCATACATTTATAAGATTGTATTTCTTCCTATATTGTCCAAAGAAATTTCTTTTATTGAGCCAATATTTTTATGGTCTACCTAAAAATATTATGTGTCACCTTAGAAATTAGTATTTTCCCAGGCATCTTCAGGGGAATTTTGAGTAGTTTATGCACACCTTCCCTCACAGGGATCTATTTGTATTGAACAGAAGTCTTCCAAAAGTCTCACAAACAGAGGGGCAATTCATGCTAATTAGTGCTAGAGCCTCTCCCTAATTGTTAACAATCCCCTACCCGACTTCTCACTGATTCTATTTTTCTTTCTGTTGCTTATATCCTCATTGCTAAGTTTCCTTATGTTTATTATGTGTTGAACCAGATTTCAATAAAAATCTCACTCTAATGACATCTTATTTGTCTAGTTAAACACAGGTTTTCAAATACCCTGAGTCACCACGTCCCAGAACACTTATTTGTCTTTCCTTCTGTATTCCCATCACACTTCTAACATTAAGGAAATGAAGCTAACTGTTAAGGTAGGAAACAAGGTACCGCCATAAACTAGCTGTAAATAAAGACAAAGCAACCCTGGTGGATTGAAGTTCAGGCTTTATGTGCCCCAGGCTGTCACTGGAAGTACATGTACTTGCTCTTAATTTCAGAAGGTGTTGATCTTCCTCATTAAGTAGGACATGTTTTCATTAAAAATGGGATGTTAGGGTGTCAAGAGACCTTTATCTTCCACCAGTTGCAGAAGAAACAATTCTTTAAGAAATACTCAACTCTCTTGAGAAAGACATACTGAGAGATATTCTATCTGATAAGATTTATTATTAATGAGTGTTCCACTTGTCCTGAAGTCATTATTCTTTCTTGAATTATTAGCCCCATCTCAATATACTGAAAATGATAGGTTTTCTAATTATCTCAGTTAACTTTTCTAGTTTATTAAAAGCTTACCTGAAATTCTAAATTATATTTGGTTAAATTGGTCTGTTCACTACTTTTTTAGCAGTTACCACTCTGCTAGACCAAACCTGAGTCTTGACTTAAATTAAGTAAAGGCCAAAAGTACATTTTTACAAAACTGGCAAATTCCCAAATACAACCATTTATTTTCCTTTGCAATTAGTCTTCCCCTACCATGGATAAAACCAAACCCTTGGTATTAGAACTGTACATACATTCCATTCTCCCAAATTTGAATATCATATTATACTTAAGCCAAGGAAGTGGCTCCTTGTGAGCATGAATCTTTTACTGTTAAGCATAGTTTGCCAGATAAATGTTGGAAGGTCCATTATATTCTTAATAGCCAGGGCAATATTTTCTCAAATTTTTATTGTTTACCACTGTGCCAATTACCCCAAATTTCTGACAAGGTTACATTGTGAAGTAATGTAAAACAAGCCACTGAAAAATACATTTTAACAGAGCAGTATTTACATTCTACCAGTATAAATGTTCCTACAAAATGTGTTGAAGGGCCTTTAAAGGTTCTGTAGCCCTAGGGTCAACAGTTATGTACACAATGGTAAAGTGATCTTGAAGATGATGATGCTCTTTACTGGAATAATCCAGAAAAGTAACTGACCCATTTCCACACACCTTTGGGAAGCAGAAGCAATGTTCAAAATGCCTGTTCTGAATCTTTATAGGATCAGCCTCACCTTCTGTTAGAAAAAGACTAACTTTAAATTATTAAATTAAAAAAGAAAAATTATAATTTAACTTTGCTCCATAATTACTGCAGATGAGTTATTAAAATTCCAAACTTATGTAATATTATCATAAAATATGGCATTTTTCTCAAGAAAGCCACAAATTGGATTTGAGCTTATGCACTGTAAAACCCAGATGGTTTGCTTAACTACTCAGACATCCCCCAGTTCAAAAGTTAATTGAACTGAAAACTAAAATTTTGATAATTGATAGGCTTTAAGGGACTCAAGCAGAAGGATAAATTAGCCTCATGCATGGGGTGTTAATAGACTTGAGAAATCATGACAATTGGTCAGGAAATATTGGCACAGTTGAATAAAACTATACATTTTCTATAGGTTAACTAATCACACATTACCTGGACTTCCCATGGTGCTGATGCTTTTCTTTCTCCATTTTTTTACCCACGGATTCAATATTAGTTACTATTTTACCCAGTTTAACTTGTTCTGGAATTTAAAAAAAATTAATTGTATACTATTTGTTTTCAAGTTCTAAGTGCATTTTTTGAATTAAATTGCAAATTACAGATTTTTTTAATAACAAAAGGTACAATATTTTTCAAACAAATTGCTAACACAAAGATACTCTAAAAACACATTTGAGTGTTTTTTTTCACCCCATGCTCCTCAGACGTTTTGCAATTACTAAAATTTAGCACTGATGGTATAGAGTAAATGAACTGCATATATCAGAAAGGAGATCGTTCCCCAAGAAATGTCTGCAATAGTACAGCACATACTAATGAATACCAACAGTCTCATTTATACATAGCATTATTATCATCATTATCATCATAAGGCTTAGCTTTTATAGGAGAGTCTGCTATTTTAAAATAATTTAGCAATCATTAGTTAATGTGAATGGGAACACTCATCAATTTGATAGAGTAAGACTGAAGTTCAGAAAAGGCAAAGTTCTGCTCAAAAAAATAATCTTATTCTAAGAGTCAAAAGAGAAATTTACATAAATATTTTTAAATCTTTCTATTTTGTACATATAATAGGATGAACATAATTTGAAACATTATACCAAAATATTAAGTTAATATCCATGTACCTTCTAGCTACCAGCTCAGGTATGTTAAAGATATATTAAAGTTACAGGGAATTTATGAAATGAAACCCTCTGTTTTGGAAATACTTACAAATCTGGTTGGTGTGTCAATGCTAACAAATAGAAGAACACAGTTGACCACATTATGTGAATTTAGATTTAAAATATATAACAGAGAATATAAAAATTGGGGAGAAATGGAAAACAGAATGTTAGAAATTTATTGACTATTTATAATATGCCAGGGATGTTGCTTAGCATTCCCTGTAAATCATCTCACACTTAAGGCTTAGAACCAGTTTTTAGCATTTTCATTTGTTTGCTTTTGGTGAGGCACAGTGATTACTCTTTCACATGGGAGGAAAGCAGCCACCCAAGATCTGATAAGTTAAAAGATGCAGAGCCAGGGCTCCACCCTGTATCCCTCTGACTGTAAGTTCCTTCATCACTCCTGCCCCAGGGTTCAGGGAGCCTCAGGTGCCTAATCATGGAAAGAGGGTCATTTCTGCCTTGCTTATTACTTTGGAAGGTGACTATAGAGCTTAAAAGACACTTTATGTAAAGAAATATGGTAGATTGAGAAAATACTAAAATGGAGTAGAGAAGGAATTTGTAAGTTTGAGTCTTAAAAATATTTGCCATATGCTAAGTGTACTAATTGCTATACATGGGTTATCATATTTTATTCTCACAAGTACACCATAAGTTAGAATCTATTATTCTCCCCATTTTACAGATGACGAAAATGAAGCAGAGAAACAGATTAACTTCCTCCAGGTTATAAAGCTGCAGGTAGAGTCAATATTCAAACCCAGACAGGCACTCTTTGGAGCCTGCATTGTTAATCACTGTGATACTCAATATGCATAATTATTTTGTTTACTTCAAGAATATCTATTCAGTGAAAATTAATTATGCTACTCCTAGAGAGGGGAGATGTAGGATATAAAATTAATAGAATATGATTGCCACTCTCAATGAACAGCATGACTAGCAGCAAAAATCATTACAGAAAAACAAAGGAGAAAAGGGATAGGGAGAAAAGGTCATGAGATGAGTGATCCAGAGATCTAAGGAGTAAATTTCACAATGATGCTAAAGAAAGTAAGTTTGTGTTACTCTAATAATTAATAAAGCAAAACGTTATGCCCATTTTGTTGAGGTTTTTGTTTTTTTTTAAGCTTACTTTTTTTTTTAGTAATCTCTACACCCAATGTGGGGCTTGAACCTACAACCCTGAGATCAAGAGTTGCATGCTCTCCTGAGCCAGCCACTCACCCTTATATGCCCATTTTGAAAAAAATCTGTTAAAAATTTGGCCATCATCCATTTAAATGCTAAACTAAAAACCGTCTATGGTAACATTTAACTAAATCATTTTAGGATTGTATCCAAAATAAAGTTTTTAAAAGTATAGTTATATACCTTTAAAAAAAGAGATTTCTAGGAAGGCAGTTAAAGCATATAAGATATCTAACATTACTTCTAATTAGTTTACTAAACCTTTGGGTGGGTAACCAGACTTACTGTGTGACTTTGGGCAAATTATATCATCTCAGAGTTCATAACTATTCCCTTTATGTGAAATCTAGTCTCTTAACCAATTACATCAAACTCTAGAATTCAGTTCTGGAATATAAATTATAAATTACCTCTGGTTAGAATAATTGATAAATAAGAGACAAACAGAGAGACTGGGAAAAGAAAATACAGGCAAAATAATAAATATTTGAGGCTTTTGTAATGAAATCAAACATAATGGAGCATAAGGCATTAGAACTGTCAAGCAAAAGACTCTAGTCCTTAACACTATTTACCATGCTTTCCTCAGAATTCAGCTAGATTTGACCATTTGTTCAACTGGAATCATCCAGTCATTCAATTTCCTTTACTTATGTCTATTTCACCTGTCTCCTCTGTGAATTCATTTTGCTTTGACCACCTCCAGCTGTTGTGTATGCCCCACGGCTCTTTCCTTGGCTGCCTTCTAACCCTTTACTTGAAAGATCCCGTCCATGCCCATGGCTAAATTTATCATCTAAATGTAGATGCCTCACAAAATCTATATATCTTTCCCAGAATGCTCTCAAGTGCCAAATTTGAATAACCAACTGTCTCTATATACATGTCACAAAGATATCCCAATTAACATTTCTCTCTCACAATTAATGACACTACCATCCATCCATGTACCTGGAAGTTACTTATACTCATTCCCCCTCAACATTCTTCATATAACCAGTCATTAAATCCCTTCCATCCCTTCCCACACATACTGTTTCAAAGCAGACCTTTGTCATCTCTCCTCTGAACACTAGTAATTTCCCCCCTTAAATTCCCACCTCCAACCCTAATACCCTCAAATGCATCCTCCTTACTTTCCATAAGTCATCTTTATTTTCAAATTATGGGATTTTGAATTATCATTGTCGTTGTTTTTAAATGTAATTTCACTGTAGTCAGAGAACATAATATACAATTCCAAATTCTTTGAAGTTTATTGGCAGTATGTAGTCAATTTTGTTCCGTCAATAATGTTCCATATTTGTCTGAAAATTTATATCCTCTCATTGTTCTACATTCATCTAATAAATTAAACTTTTTAATGTAGTTGTTTAAATCAAACTTAACTGCTAATATGCCTAGGCACACACATACATGTATATGTGCATACATATATGAATATAAATTATTTTTTGCTGGACCATTTGAAAGTAAGCTACAAACAGTATAACATTTCACCTTTAAATATTTAATCACATAGTTCCTAAGAACAAGTATACATCCTACACATTCACTATACAATATTATATGTATAAATACACTCTGAATTTCTAAGATTTACTACAAAAATGTAATATATCTAATTAAAATATTATATTAATTGTTTAATAGTATTTTCATATATTGAATTAAATAAAATATATCACTGAAATTAATTTCACTTGTTTCCCTTTAGCTTTTTTTTAATGTGGCCACCAGAAAATTTTAAATTGCATTATCTTTCAAAAGGACATCACTGACCTAAAACATTCCTCCTACCCTTTTTCATCTTTCTTAACATTCTTGAAGGCAATCTGAATTCTTCCCACTGCTTCTTTATGACTAGATTAAAATTAAGTATTTTTGACAGGAATAGAACTGAAGTGGTATGATATCCTTCCTATTATATCACAACAAAAGGTGTTATAAATTTGATTATTTGAGTAAGGTGGCAACTGTCAAATATTTCCATTATAAACATATGTTTTTCGCTTTGCAATTACTAAACAATTTCTGGCTAATACTTTGGCTGTTCCCCCAATCAACTTTCAGCACCCACTAATAACTCTCATAACAGTCATTACAGCGGTAATTGCAAAATAATGCTTTTTAAAAAATAATTGTTTGTTTTCTTCTATATTTATAAACCAACATTAATCTGTAAAGGAGAGATTTTCCTCTTTTTCTTCTCCTCCTCTTTGGGACACATTAAGTCTTTTTTTTTTACTCAGTGTGTTATAATCTACTCCCACCATTATTCTTTTTGATGCTCATAATACCAAAATCAGCCAGTCAGTTCCTGTAATACTTCAACATATCTCCATTAGTCTTTGAACATTTGTTCCTTTCTGCGAAAGTAACAGTTCCAGGCTTACTTTTCCTTTCCCTATCCCAGACCAGAAATTAGGTCTCCAAGGAGTAGTGGTCATAATTGCTTCCATAATTATCATTCTCGCCAATCTCTAGTGTTTATTAGAAAATTTGGATTACAATTGTGTTATAAGTTCTCCATATACTCCCTAGAGCTTTTAATCTTTCATATTGTCCATCTCTTTGTAATTCCTTTTGTAAATTTCTTAAGAGACTCATTCTAGTTTGCTAATTCTATCTTTAGCTCCGTTAAATCTGTATTTAAAAATTTATTAACTTTCCTATTTGTTATTATATATTATTTCTAGAAGTTCCTTAACTGCTTTATAAAATCTTCCTGAACACTTTTATTGTCTTTAGTTCATTCATATTTTTATACTTCATTTTTTAAACATTTTAAACATACTTATTCTCTATTCTGTATCTGACAATTCTATTATCTATGGTCTTTGTAAGTCTAATTTCATTTTGGGTAACTGGAGTACTAAATTTCTCACCAGAGTGACTAATTTCTTCATGTATTTAAAATTTTTTTAATTGCAAATTCATATTCCATAGGATGGGAATTATTTGCAACCTGGGATTAAGATTGATTCCTCAAGAAATCATTTGCTTTTCCTCCAGGCAACTGAGGGAACTTTCAATTCATAATAACATTGAACTACTCTCTCATGTAGGGATTTTTGAGATACTGGCAATATGCATTTTGATTCCATCACAGGTGAGCTTGTTTGTAGTCATAAGTCATAAGAAGAAATTT